TATATATATATATGGTATCGTACTACTACATAGCCTTGCCCTCAAACTGCTCGGTATCACGTCTGGCCTATGGGGGATTCGTATAGTTTGCCACTTCGGGTCCCAGGACTAAGTTTACCGGTTCTCATGATTGAACATTCTTGTGACTACGGAATTCACTTCTGCAGGGTGGATCGCAATAAAAAGACTAGAATTTCAGTTATGTAGTACAACTTTGAAGAATTCCTGAATGAGCGATTTGAATAAAACACCTCAATCTGACAAAGAACCCAATTNCCTACATCATCTATGGACTGGCTGAGAGAGTCCCGACGGGAGGCCAGATTGATTGATGGCGGCAACCATATCCGCAATCGAGGCGCGGGGGACCCGACAGGCAAGATAGAAACGAGTTTTCGCAAAGAGCAAACCATACGAAATGTGCGCAACTGTTGATAGCGGAAACAAAAATGTGAATATACACGTTTAGACGGTATGTTGTCAGGAAAATGACACTTCCGGGTAAACAATGTGGCACAATGTTTAGAACACGCTAAACAACGTGGCTGGACTGACTGTTTATTGTCGTGTTAGTTGGTGGGTGGGCGGAAATCAATAAAACAGTTATGAATAGGATTAGAGACACGAGAGACCGCCCAAATTCCCTTACGAAAAATGACATTTTTATAAGTTATCGGATTACGATGCTTCATGGATTGAAGCGAATTCAAAGAGCGACTTTAAAAAACTTCATGAATAATTATCTGAAATAGGGCCTTTTCAACCCAATATGGTTTAAAAGTGAAATCTTTTAAATGTCGCAAATGTAGTTTTAGTTTTCCTTGTTCTCCTTTTCAAACATAATATACTGCACCAATGAATTCTGATTTAACCAACTCCCCTGGGTGAACTAACAGTGGTCCATCAACCCGGATGTGGGCTTTTCGTCCTTTCACTTTGATGGGAAACACCTCCACCACGAGAAGGCAATGAGTAGGGCTTCCTCAGCGGAGGCTATTTGAGACGCTTGGTCGTATGGGAGCATTTCGCCAGGTGCAAGGAAAGGGTGACAATCCGCAGCCCTAGACACCCACCCCCGACCATATTGAGACTTTTGGAGTCAGTCCACAAATGTTGAAT